AAGATCTAGTGACCATACTTTTGGAACTCCCATCACTATTATCCGCAAAAGCAAAAACTATGGAATTAGTTCCTGGAGTCAAAAGAATGGAACGGGGCAAAATATCCGACCAGCATAAACATGGGAGACAAAGCATACCAAAGTACACACTGACGGGTCTTCAACATCGGCTGATGGAGTGAAAGTGGAATGCATGGTTGCAGACACCTACATAAACAAAAGTGATTAAATGCTGAAGAAGAATTCAGGGTAAGACATATTTTAGTTTTTTGTGTTTGTTTCAAGGAAAAATGTCAAAAGATGATTCAGCATTCTTTTCTCTGTACACATGTTTATATTAAATGTCAAAAATGAATTCATGCGATAAAATAGTGAAGAAAGAGTTCAGGTCAAGATATATAGGAAACAATTATTATAGGAAAAGCTATAATAAAATCCCAGGAGCAAAACAACATTATTGACAAGAAAATATATTAATGCCATTTAAGATGGTTGTCGGTTGTCCTGTTCTTTATGCACTCATCCACCAAACTCTTCAGAAAACTTGAACAGAGAAGTAAACGTAAGATGCAATTTAACTAATTTTTTTTCAGCACTTCACTTAGTCATGGAATTCTATTCTCATTTAATATTAGTAAAACGTAGAGATTTTGGCTAACTATATATGGTAATAAAAGGAATTGAAACCAATCTAGTTCATCCTACGACTTGAGTCAACCCAAAAAGTGAGGACACAATTAGCTTTGGTTACCAAAAAAGGAAAAAAATTAGCATTATACTAAGACTACTTAAACATCAAAACTTCAAATTCAAAAGCAATGAAGTAAACCACCAGGCGTGTCAACTTGCTTAAGCAGATGATCTTAAAGCAGAAGTGCATAACATATAAATAGTGAAGCTGGATGCCACTACTAGGTCCAGATTCTTTAAAAAAAGCATTGGAAAGGAAAAATGGATAACGCCAACTTAATGATCTATCACATTATCATCTGAGAAGATCTAGTTGTTGAAATGTTCTCAACAAAAACATAAATGTGTCGGCACTATTTCTTCAACATTTAAGACAAAATTGTTCTCATCTAAACTCAGACAAGAACAATCACAAGGACTCAGTCACTCTAAGTCTAACGTCAGGAAATCACCAAGATTTCTTCTCTTCTATACCCAGACAAGAACATTCGCTCCTCCACTTCATGAAACCAGCAACAAAAAGCTAGTTGAACAATGGGCCCTAAAGCTCAATCCTTGTGTTCAGTATAAAGCATACTCAAACAAAAACAGCCTAGCGCCATTCCCCAAAGTAAAAAAAACCATACACAATTCAAACAAACAAGCACTTTATATTTTCAGTGGTACATATATACATTGCAAACTCGATTGTATAATCCCAAAAATAAAGCATGCCTAAGATATTACCATGGAGTATAAATAAGTGAGAGCAATGTTTCAAGGAGTGCAAAAAGGAACATACCCCACGCAACAGTGCATTCCTCCCTGGTGGAACTTGCTGGTTGGCTTGGCATTCAATGCCTGAACAGCCAAATTAAACAATTTGAATTAACAAACCAAGAAGAAAGTCATACAATTAAATGAATCAAAAGTTGAAAAAATGAAATCAAGACTTAAATAGGTCCATGATGCGATTCCTACAAATCGCACAATTATCTAAAAATATCATCCAATCAACCAAAAACAGCTTTAAGGAAATATATATATTTATATATGAAATTTTACAGTACGACACTTTAATATATAATTAAAAAAATTATTATTAATTTTTTTATTATTTAAATAATAAAATTAATAAAAATTTATGTAAAATATTATTATTTCTATCTAAAACATTATTTTTTAATATTTCGATAAAATGTCTAATAATAATAAAATCGATAAAAATAATTATGTTTTTAGTATTTTTTACCAATCGATAATATTTATTTTAACATATTAAGACTGATATTTTCCAAAATATATAGAGAAGGAAAATACGGAGTGATAGAGAATGTAGGGATGACCCCAAGCCCAGTGAGCAACCGCACTCCACTTTTTGATCTCGAAGCGCTTGAGCTTCTTAGTGGAGGTGGAAGGAGAAGTGCTGCTTGAAGCCTCGCCGACGGGAACCATCGGGACGTCGGAATCTAGAGTAGCCATGAGAGCGATCGAAAGGAAAGGAAAAGAAAGGAAAGGAAAGGGCAGAATTCCCTTCGCTTTTGTTGAGGGGAAGAGGTAGTCAGTCGTATACCTCGCGAAAGGAGGAGAACAGTGCAGGCGCGTGGTAGCTCGAGTCTGTAATTATAGGTAAACTACACAATCGTAAGCAAACTAGTATCTTTTTCTAATTTAATTACCGAAAGTTTTTTTTTTCATTTTTAATTGATCTTTGAATTTTAATGATTTAATAAAATGAAATAAAAATCACTTGCTTAGCTGTATTTGACAACATTTGAAGATTTGGCCGTTCGGTAGACAGGTTTGTGGTGATTAGCCATTTTTGAACTGTCTTTTGCTTTATAAACAATCAAATTGACCCATGCCATTCAAGGTATTGTACTTAAAAGAAACAATAAACAAAGTCTTCGGTCTCATGAAAAACAAAAGAGAAATAACTTCAGTGATCAAAAATCCCATATAATATACGATTTTAACCAATTTTTTCCGGATTTGTCAAAATGACCAACAAAATCGTAATGCGATCGCTAATTCGCAACGCGATCTCCATTATCGCAAATTCGCGTTGTATTTTCGCAATGCGATAGTTGGAAATCGCGTTGCGATGGTCTACAGTGTCGTTGCGATTTTCCCAATTCGCAATGCGAATAAGTAAATCGCAACGCGATTTGGGAAAATCGCAACGCGAATTGGGAAAATCGCAATGCGAATAAGTAAATCGCAACGCGATTTGGGAAAATCACAATGCGATACTGACTATCGCAATGCGATATACAAAATCGTAACGAGATACTTACTTTCGCAACGCGATACTGACTTTCGCAACGCGATTCTGACTTTCACAACGCGATAATACATAATCGCAATGCGATTTTCAAAGCGCCATTAGTATCCTGGCCAAGTATTTTATTTTTAAATTCTAACACGAATATTAATATATTGGAACACTGAACCGTCCACAGTATATCCCGTAATCGCAACTCATAACCTAAAACCTAAAATCACAACTTAGTCCCATCTCCATCTCTCACTCTCTCACCCATCTCCGACGAAATCCGTCCCCATCTCCGGCGAAATCCGTCTATCTCCATCTCTTAGAGCCACCCTCACAATCAGAAATGGAAAATCAACCAAATCAACCAACGAGGGTTAGTTTTTTTAATTATTTGTTCTCATATTTTCTCTTTAGACTTTTGGGATGCTCTTCTATGTTCTTAGCCATGTGAGATTGTTTTAAAAAAAATTAAACCAAACAATATTTTATTATTTTTTAGCCCCAAATTTATTTTATTATAGTTATATATATATTATTATTATTTTACCTTAAATATTATGTTGTAGTTAATTTGAATCATTTTGTTTCACTTGATTTTATGGTTTTTAACTTATATGTTATGACTTGATTTGAATATGACTTGTGATATAAAAAATTATTTTTATTAAATATTTTGGTATTTTTATTTAATTTTTATTTAATTTTTTAAATAATTATGACGTCGTCTGATTCTTCCGACCGGTCGGACCGGTTCGACCAATTGAACCAGTAAACCGATAGCATGACCGTTTCGTTAACAGATCCAGTTCGCTAACCGATCCAATTCTAAAAACCATGATATAAACCTGGTTCCAGAAGATGGTAGTTAGTGTGATTTGAGAGAACAATTCGCCATGTCGTCACATTAAGAAAGTCAATGGACGATGTTGAAATTACGACCGCGTTTTGCATGGAAACTACAAATAAAAAACAGTTTAATATTTACTATTTCGAATGGTGGATATGGAAAAGAAAAAATCATTAGTGAGTTTGCATGTTGCACGGATTTGCTGAATCCTCGTTTCCAAGATTCTTCGACTGTTCAAAACAACTGATTTGAAATTAAAGTCTCCCTTCTTTAATTTTTAAAGAATAATGTAAATAAATTTCTAACATTTGTATTATATGCATTTGTGCTCAAATCGTTTTTTTAGCAGTTCTACTCACAACGTTTGATTGTGGCATAAGTTTCTCCGTTCGATGGAATCCGTCAGTCAACTGACGGTCAACGAGTCCATCTGACGTGACATGCACATGTGGTCATCGATTATGACGTAATATTTCCACGTTATTTTTTTTGCTTACGTAGAATTACTTGTGGACCCAGATACTGACGTGGCATGCATAAATCATCATAGATGATGATGTGGCACTGCCACGTCAGATTTTTTAAATAAAAATTAAATATTATTATAATATTTTTATTTAATATTTTATGTTCATAAGATAATAACACGTGTCAACAACTTATTTTTGGGAGGAATTGAACCTGGGCCAAAAGCTTGAAACTCCGTCACAAAACCATCATTCACTTGATTATTTTTTGCATTATCAAATATTTAACATAAACGTTATGTCTCTCATACATTTTATCAAATACTTGGTGCGCTTGGTGAATGCCTACACAAAAATTGCCATAAATTGTTTCACGCTCAACCATTTGTCATGGAAAGGAAACCATTAGCAATACTCAAAGATGCGGTGTGGTGCGTGGTGTGGATGCTAAAGAACGAACTGTTAAAGTGCAATGGAGAAACATGTATGTGAATCAAAAATGGTTTTAATGCTGCAGATAGAGGAAACTGTTAGTGCTTATGAACTTGTTGAGCACCCAGACTACTCATATTGATTTGGGATATTGTGGTCCAGAATCAATATGGTGATCGAGCTGATAAAGGTCACAAAATCTCTCAAAGTTCTTCAGAAGGCAAAACTTGAATTCGTATCAGAATGAGAACCCCAGTTCATATTGTCTATCCTGTATCGGCATTGTCATGGGGAGACAAACTCCGTGAGCTAACGAAATGCTTTCCTTGTAACCTGCCAGTCTATGCTTTGTATGCTCCGGAAGCCGCCCAAGGTAAAATTCCATATTTTTTTTCCACCTCTCTTTGCATTTGTTGAATTAATGGAGTTATACTGATGTTATCTCTTGATTGAATGACTATATCTCTTCTGGTTCAGCATTTTGAGGCCCTTGCCAAGGAGCACTTCATAAACGTGCTGAAAGTATTGTCTCGGCTTGCAACGCATACATGGAAGGAGCCCCAGTAGGATTTGCTCTTGAATGCAGCAGAAATGAACTTGATGTTAACTTTAAAGGAAGTTCTACCGGGTTCAAAATCATGCTCGCCAAGCTTTTCCCAAAGCTTGTGGATGCATTTTCAAATCACGGAGTCGATTGCAGCCAAATCCGGGATAAATGAATGTACCCGTGAGACACTAGTAGGTAACGCAAATGTTCATTACATTAGTGAAAATTGCTATAATGTGAAAAGCTTTGTGTAATAGTCATCACCCGAATTAGAGAACGATAATCGAATAAAGATCCCTGCAAGAAGTTTAGTTTGTTTCATACCGGGTGTTCTATGACCGTGAAAAGCTTTGTTTCATACAGGCTTGTGCTATGACTGTACAAAGCTGTTGTTTCAGACAATAAGATTGTTAAGAAGTGATGATTGGATTGTTGTGTTTCGATTAATCTCTTTAGGAGTTTCCCAATCCCTTGTTCCTTTTTTCTAGATTATGCATTGCTATATCATGTGTTTATCTTCGTTACTCAGAGAAAAAACATTACAAACCCTCAATATGCTTAGAAAAACAACAGCCAAGCCATCACCAATAATCTCGACAAGAACATGAACCATCTTTAAAATGATGAAACCGAAGTAAGATCGGTAATCACAGAGATTGAGGGCTTGGAGTCTGTATGGGTTTCAAGTGTTTGATAAAATGTGTGAGAGACATAACGTATATATTAAATCGTTTGTAATGCAAAAGGTAATCAAATGAATGATTTGGCTTGGTAGTTTGGTGATGGGGTTTCAAGCTTTTGGCCCAGCTTCAATTCCCCCAAAAGCAAGTTTTGTTTGGATTAAATATAAACCATAAGTTATTGACACATGTCATCATCTTATTGGACATAAAATATTAAATAAAATATATAAGTATTAGGAATAATATTTTAATTTTTATTTAAAAAGTTGACGTGGCACTGCCATCATCATCTATGATGATTTGTGCATACCACGTCATGATGATTTGTGCATGCCACGTCAGATGGATCCGTTGACCGTCAGTTGACTGACGGATTCCATCCAACGGGGGAACTTATGCCTCAGAATCAAACGTTGTGGGTAGAACTGCTCTAAAAAAAACGATTTGAGCACAAATGCATATAATGCCAAACGTTAGGGGTATTTGTTTGCATTATGCCATTTTTAAATATTGGCTTAGTTATAAAATAATTAATTATAAAATAAGTGTCTCAATTATATTGTTTTTTTTCAAATAGTATAAACTTTTTTTTAAAAATAATCTAGATGTCTAACGATACAAATGTTATCACTTTAGGTGTCTAGGCTGTAACCATCGTTAATTTCTGCCTCTGAAGGACAATTGTCACGTTTTGATAACTTTAAAGTTTTTATTTAAAATTTTAAAAATAAAAATATATTTAGAAAAACACACAAAAATTTTGAAATAAGCCTAAAACTTTAAAAACTCTCATTTCAACCCCTAAACTCATATCAGCATTTGTTATCGCAAAGCTCCACCCAACCTCACATCTCCTAACGATCAATAACCCTATAAAATCACGACCAATCGATGATCAATCGATGTTTATACCACACGAATCCTACATTGAAAATTGTGTCCCCACACGATCCCAACTGTGATGGTTGAGATTAGGTCAAGTCAAAGATTTTGGTTATCGACCCGAATATTTGAGTGAAGATTTTAATTCCTGGGTTATCTATATGGGTCATAAACTATAGCTAGTGTGGGAACCCAAGTATTAATCCCAATAGATAAATGAGAGATTTAAATGAGTGCATGAACTAGAAGGGTAAAATGCCCAATAAAGTTAGATTTTTCCAAGCAATGACAATAAGAATGAGAATTCTAAAAAATATGAGCTAACTTTCTTATTGTTTTTTGTAACACTCATCTCCCGTATACTTTTCTGTACACGAGATACAAATGTCACATCACTTTTTAAAACATTTTGTCATTTGAAAACCCATAAAATTTTGTTTCAAATTTTAAAAAATAACCCACCAAAATTATAACATTCATTGAAGCATAATACCATAACTATCACTTTAAATACATTACATAATATTTACTTAAGTTCAATTACATGCTAACTAAGTTTTCAAGAGGAATAAGATTGTCCAAATGTTACTGACGAGTCAACCTTTAATTAATGAAAGTTGTTGTTGCTGCACTCCTTACTCGGCAAATCTTTGATTGTTACCTACGTGTGAAATCAACACACGTTAAGTATTTACTTAGTGATGCATAACCTTGTAAAAGAATTATAATTTATTCATAAGTATGTCCTGACTATCAAAATCATGATCAATTTCTACTTTATGAGATTCCTTTACAATCATTTTTGTCAAATAAATGAATGAAACCATTTATATCAAATGCATTGTTAAACATTTAATCTTTTACCTAAAGGCATTTAGCCTTTCATCTATCTTGCATGATTGAAACCTTCTTGCCAAATGCACAGTTAGGCCATTAATATTTTACTCAAAGGTATTTAACCTTTCATCTAAATGGCATAATTGACACCTTTATGCCAAATGCACCGCTAGGCCATTAATCTTTTACTCAAAGGTATTTAACCTTTCATCTAACTGGAATAATTAACACATTTCTGTCAAATGCACAGCTAGGCCATTAATGTTTTACTCAAAGGTATTTAACCTTTCATCTAACTGGCATAATTGACACATTTCTGTCAAATGCACAGCTAGGCTATTAATCTTTTACTTTAGATATGTTTCTACTATAATAGTTGTTTATAATATCAACTAACTCTTTCCATTCATTATAAATTCTATTGTTTGCACATGTAGTGCCAATATTGTAGTTCACAGACTTATTATAATTTACGTGGGTTACATACACATCCACTACCAATATGGAAATTCATAAACTCATTATGAATTTCTTAGTTCTGCACACAAAGTGCCCATACGAAAATTCATCCACTTAGTATGAATTTCTTAAGTTCACACACAAAGTGTCCATATGGAAATTCATCCACTTAGTATGAATTTCTTAAGTTCACACATAAAGTGTCCATACGGAAATTCATCCACTTAGTATGTTACACATAAAGTGCCCATACGAAAATTCATCCACTTAGTATGAATTTCTTAAGTTTACACATAAAGTTCCCATACGGAAATTCATCCACTTAGTATGAATTTCTTAAGTTTACACATAAAGTGCCCATACGGAAATTCATCCACTTAGTATGAATTTCTTAAGTTTACACATAAAGTGCCCATAGGAAATTCATCCAATTAGTATGAATTTCTTAAGTTTACACATATAGTGCCCATACGAAAATTCATCCACTTAGTATGAATTTCTTAAGTTTACACATATAGTGCCCATACGAAAATTCATCCACTTAGTATGAATTTCTTAAGTTTACACATAAGTGCCCATACGAAAATTCATCCACTTAGTATGAATTTCTTAAGTTAACACATAAAGTGTTCATACGAAAATTCATCCACGTAGTATAAATTTCTTAACTTTTTGCACATTCAGCGCCATTTAGTAATCACCATACATATATCAATCAATCATACATCTATGACTACCATAACATATATGTACATAATTAAATGCACTCAACTGGCTTGCTTCGCTTTGATATCCAAAACGCAAACTGATTACTCGGAACTTGGCCTTTGCCTTTTTCTTTGCTTGACTAAGGAGCTTGATTTCGATATATTAAATATCCATTACATATATGTACAATATCAATTGTTAGTATATTTCCTAACAATTACACTTAAACATTACTCAAGAGTACATATTATTAACTTTTCTATAACAATATCAGCCTATCTTACAATTTCTGGCTCCTCAGTATCGATACCCCTACCATGGCATCGATACTACTATACTATGGTACCGATACTCTATTATGGTATTGATATCATTTTTGCATTATATTTTAATGGTTTCGATACCTTCCTCATAGTATCGATACCCCCCTTTGGTATTGATACTGATTGTATCAGTATCGATACTACTTAGCTGATTCATCCCATTTTAGCATATAGTATCGGTACTATTCTATCAATACAGATACCATTTTTTTCAACCCGAAACTTGCCTAAATTTGGTCAAATTTTCTCATGTTTACTCCCAACAATACTATTTAACTCTTTTCTACTTATCCATACCAACTTTCCTTCTTTTAGGTACTTAAAACATCTAAAATCTCTCAAGCTCATTTGAGTCTAAGAATCACACCATATTTTGTAACTTGTTATTAAACTCATCAAATGCTTCTAATCTCTCATTTACTACTTTGACAAGTCAAAACTACTAATAATCATCAATAAACACTTATATCTTAACCTATCATTTCAAAACCCATTTTTTAATTATCTAATATTTCCCCCATGCCATAGTTTTAATCTTATATAATCTTTCCTTAAGCTTACATATCACTTAAGGTTGCAACAACAACCCATAATCGAAAGAAAAAATTAATTAATTGAAGTTTACCTTTGGAGCTATGGAGGAGAGAAAACCATGGGAAAGAAGAAGAAGAGTAAAATGACTTATCCTAGTTTTTCACTTTCCTATTTTCTTAAATCCCTAACTTTAAATGGGTTTTAAATTTATTTCACTCTAAAAGACAAAAATACCCTTTCAATATTACAATTCTTACTAATTGGTTTTACTTAAATAATTTCTTATACTTTACCACTTATTCCATTTAATCTTCCAAATTTTAATTCCTTTCAAAATAATCACTGACATACTATTTGAGGTGTTACAGTTTTCTTTCTTACCCATTTCCTTTTTTTTTTTGCTTCACAAATTCAAGCTTTGGGAAAAAGACAAAAGTTAGTGGAGAAAAGGTAAGGGGTGTTGGTTGTTAAATTTCCTTTGGTGATGATCATATCTGAAGAGAGTATATGATTTGGTTTCCATGAAAGAGAGTTTAAAGAAGTATTAGGGTCTGAGTATAAACAAGCTGTAGAGATGGAGTAATATTTTTCTTTGCATAATTGTTGGTATGATTAATTTGTTCCCTTTAGCCTAATAATTCCAATTTTCAGAAAAGGGAGCTGAAGATCAATCCCAAAGCAAAGGAATAATAAGCTTGGGGAGTAGGAAAAAAAGGGGTTTTCATCATCATCGTTTTGTAAGGTAATGCAACATTGTTCTTTATGTTCTATAA